TCTGTGTGTCAGTGTGTGTGTGTGTCTCTCCAGGCCCGCGTCTCGCACAGCCGCCGTGCGGACCGCAGGGCGCTGAGCGCGGATCGCCGCCTCCGCTCGGGACGAGCCGCAGCGATCTCGCCGCCGCGGACAAAGAACTCGTGCCCGCCCTGAGCGCACGGCCTTAACCCTCCCTCCCCAGCAACCACGGCGCCCGGCTTTGGCTGGGACCAGCACTCCCGGCAGCAAGCCTCCACCTCCAGAGCCGTCCCGAGCCGCGGCGGGCCCCCCGGCCGAGCGGAGCCCGCCCGGGCCGCACTCACCGCGCCCGCCCCGCCGCGCAGCGCGCCGTGCGCCGCTCCGGCCGCGCCTCCCCGCCGGCAGCGCCGGGACCTGTAGTCCTGCCCACGCTGCACTTCGCGACCTTCTCTTCTCCTTTTCCCGCAAAGCTTCCCCGGCTTTCGGAAACCCAGCGCAGGAGCGTTCTTTAAAGTAAACGACAGCTCCATGCCAAAAATCAAACGGGGACACCCCTTGTGATAAGTTATTTGCGAAGGAATTTGAGATGGGACTTTTGGAGTAATTTTTGATGATGTGGTTTTAAATTTTTTATATAGGCAAGGGAGAGTGAGTTTGGTTTACGTTGTTATGGTATGGTTTAGAAGCTTACAAGATTTTTAGTTATAACTCTTTTTAAGGAGTTATTGATTAATAAAATATCGTTAGTAAGGCTATTTATGATTTTGACTTAGTCTTTAAATATTTTATGGATTTAACTTACCATGTAAGTTTTTTACTTCATTATGTTATGACATATAAACTTATAGTATTGTATTTTAAGTTTTTGTTTATTTTGGTAATAATTTTTTAATATCTTAAACTTTAAAACTCCAAACTTTTAAAAAATTTAGCTTAACGTGCTTTTGTTTTAAACTATAAATCTACATTTTTGCTTTTAGCACTTAAGTTTGGAAGTTTTTTTTTAATGTCTCAGATCAAATTCTGTGTTTAATTTTAAGCTTTGGTTTACAGGCTCAAAGTTTTGAGAGTTCCTTGCATTTCAGATTCCAACAGTTGGATATATCCAAGGTCTGGAGCTGTTCAGTGCTCCAGCACCCAAATACCCGCAGCTGGATTTGTTGAACATCTCTGATCAGAGAGCACCCTGTGCCAGGGCATGTCAGAATAATGACAAATGACTTTCATTCCTTTGCAAGCCAACAGATTCCTCTCGAGTATTGAAAACATTTTTCTGGGTTGGAGCCTACCTGACTATATTTAGCACAAAGAGAATTTTATAAACATACAAAAAGTAAATGTTTTCAGGGCAGCCTGATGCTTTTTGGTCATGAATTGAGCTGTTCTAATGAAGAATTCACGTCATGTAATCTGAGAGCACAGCTTGTAAAAATAATAAATAGAATATCCAGGGAAATAGTACTCTCGTTACCAGAGTTACTAACAAGTTTAGGTTTAATTACACTTGACTGCTATTTTTGTGCTTCCTGAATCAGAGCAAGCCCAGTCTTATTAATCCAGCCAGCTAAACTGGATTAATGGACAAAACACATCTTCCCTTAATAAGATAAAAGATTGAAATACAATCTCTAAGGGAAGTATCCACCCTGCTGTTAAAACAAACTAACAGCTTTATTGACCCTAACTGCCCCCAGATATGGATCTTGCAAGAAGAGTTGGCTTTAGAGGGGAGCAGCTGGGGGAGTTGCTTGGTACATCAAATCTTGGGCCAGCCTCTCCAGCTGGCTCAGCCCAAAGCAGCCAGGGGTTTGGTGAGTGCACCCTGTCACAGGAAGGACTAAAAGCCAGGGCATCATGGCAGGGCAGTGCTCTGGCCTCTCCTTGTTAGGTGCAGCTCAAACCCCCATGGGTTGGATTAACCCAGTTATGCCCTGTGTGCCTCGGGAAGATAAAAAATGAGATTAGAGTATGCACTTCTGCTGCTGGTCTGACCTGGGGCAAGCCAAGCAATCTGTGAGAGATCCCTTGTGCCTCCTCCCCCGCGGTTCACACCTTAATTGCCCTGTTAGATATTTCTGCAGGTGTAAGTAAGGGGGATGATTTCAAAACAGAGGCTTGCTTGTCATTTATTTACTTCATAATTTAATTCAAGGAGCACAAATACCAGCTGTTGGTTTGGCACTTGAGTTGTTTCTTTGTAAGCATCTTTGGGGCTCCAGGCTGAGCGAGTTGCATGTGTAAACTGTTTATGTCAGTTCCTTGCAGACATTGTACCCCATGCTGGGAGGAATCCTGGGAGTGAAGTGAGGGTCTGGACACACAAATGCATCTCTGACAGCTTTCTGTAGCTTACAAATTGAGCTTTGCAGGGCCCTAGAAGGAAGAGAATCCCAGAAACTCTCCTGATGCAGTAAGAGCAAAACAAAGGAGAGGGAAAGAGGAACAGGCAGTAGGAACATCATCTCTTACATGGACAAGATCAAGGTAAATCTTTGATTCTGTGTTGCTGAAATTATTTTTCTTAAATCTGGGTTTATAAAATACTCATATTGGGGTTAAGAGCTGGTAAAAGATTTTTCCAAGCCATAAAAGCTGCTGGAAAATGTTATTCCAGGCTAATAATGGTTATATTACTAATCTTGCTTTTTCTTTCTGTTTTGTGTCTCTGCAGTTGCTCCCAATAAGCAGCAATGAGCATTAGAATTGCTAACAGCTGGCCCTTGTAAAACAACTGTATGCCTTAAATACATGAAACCAGCAAATTCACATCAAAAACTTGTGGTCAAGCCGCAAGGAACTTTTTGGAAAGGAAAAGAAAGTCCTTTTTTTTAGGATGAGCTTAGGGAAAGACAAACCACTTCTTTAAAGAGAAAGCTAATGAATAGCTTTCCCCCCTGTCATTAAATTTTAGATGCAAACCACCCAAAACCTGGCTTTTCTCTGAAGTTAGAATTGTGTCCATCATGTATATGATGGACCCTTTAAACAGCTGGGCCTTTTGAGCTAATGTGGATTGATATAAATATGACTCAGCAACCTCATTAGTCAAATTAATGAGGTGGAGCCTTCAGCCCCATGCTGATTGACTTGCTGGTGTCCCCCACTGCCTGCCTTACTTCCTAAAAATAGCTGGAGAGAGCAAAAGAGGATAAGAAAGCAGCAGACCTCACTTGAAGAAATCTGCCTGTGCCTCTACAGTGTGTGAGGTTTTGCCAAATCTCTAGAAGCTGCTGTTAAATCTCTGGCTGGATGTTAGGGACTCTATGGATAATGGGGCTTTAACTGGATGCCTCAGCTTGGATAACGTTCCAGTGTTTCCTGCTAGTTGTAGGAGTTGTATTTCTGTTGGAAGGCGACCAAAATGAGAGGAAGGGAAGGCTTATTTTTTGATGGATAGTTCCACTAAAAAACTGGCATTCTTTCTGCTCTGTGCAGCAGCGCTGCTGTCAGCCGTGTGGACACATCTGTGTCTACAGCTGGACAAGAAATGACAACATTCACCTCCTGCCCTTGCTTGTATCTCCTGTGAGACATGATTCATCTCAGCACCCCCTCAAAATGGGACGAAACACCCGAGGTTTTGTCCTTTTGGGTGGGAGCTGAGGTGGAAGTCTGGGTACAGGGAGAAATCTCAGCTGTGGATCACGCTGCAGCCTCCAGGTCTCTCTTCTGGCCGAGGCGGTTTTAAGGCAGTCACCCTGCTAAGGAATGTGTGTTAGAGGGGGGTTTGGGCCCTGTTATACCTTTGCCAGGTCTCTGTTGCTGTTGTGAAATATTTCCAGCTGGGAATGACCACAAATGCCTGCCTTGAGGAGGTGACCCTTTACTTGAAACCCTCATCTAAAGAGAAAGGAAAAAAATGCGTAGGAATGTCCCCACTGAATGGCTGGGATGAACAAACAACCAGTTCATTTATGAAACCCTGGAAAGCAACGAGCAGGCAGCATCGATCTCTCCCAGCAAGACTCACTCAAGCAGCTTTTAAAAGTGTTTGAGAGGGTGCAGAGCGCTCCTTCCCAGGTGGGCTCGATGATCCCGGACTCTTTTCCGGCCTAATTGATTCCGTGATGCTGAGCCCAGCTGCCCCGGCAGCACGGTGCGGGGCCGGGCAGGGCTGCGGGGCGGTGCCCCGGCGTTCTGGGCTTTTTGTGGCAACTTTTACTCCAAAAACACCGCTTCGGCTCGAGGCTTCCACAGTCCCTGCTGTCCCGGGGGCTGTTCCCAGCTCGCAGCCCGGTCCCCGGGCCGGTGGCGGTCCCGGTGCGCGGTGTCCCCGGG